AAAACTCAAATGGACAGTACCAAATGAAATGTTAGTATTGAAAAACATGTTCCTTGACAAAATAAAACCAACTACAGAAATAAATGACGCAAGACTGAAACATTGGGTAAAAGCTTTCCCATTCACAAAAGATATTATTGGTAACATGGAAAGAAAACCAGAATGGCTACAAAAACATATATTTGGAAACGAGCTTATTCCATATGGACAAGCTCTGTTTGAAGAGCTTGAACCGGAAACTCAGGAAAGAGTCATGCAAACAATACGCGAAGACTCAAATACAAACTATGACAAAATCTTTCTAGGATATAGGTTACCTGAGATGGGCGACCAGAGCCCAAAGGCAAAAAGGACATGAAATTTACAACATACTAGGTGAACATGAGGCAAAGATGCAACAACTTGAAGCAGAGGGCAAGTTACCAAAAGCGACACCAAAGAAGAAGAGTAGAACAAAGTGAAAGTAGTGAAGAAGTAACTTCATCTAGTGAAAGTAGTGGCAATGAAGGAAAAAGAAGAGTTAAAAACTCAGTCAGGAAGAAAGTAAAGCTTGGTCCGAAACTATTATGACACATAAATCCAACTATTCTATATTTTTACCCATATGAAATGTACGCCGCTCAGAATATAACGCCAACAGTTTTGGATGCCATGAACGGAAATGTTTCCGAATGGTATAACGAATGCGACAATGCCATTAGAAGGTCAGAAATAGTTCCTGGAACTTACGAATATACAACTGCTGTTTCTTATGGAAACGTAGGTGAGTTTGGAGAAGGTTCTTCAACAACAGTAGATATTGCTTGCGACAGGTTTTCATATTATTTCTATTGACAACTCATTCTTATACGTGGAACAAGACATTGAAATAAAACCTTCTGCCAAGTTGTCTGACAAGAAAGGTTGCAATGGAATTTTCTATGTCGGATACCAATATGCTCCAGAAGTTTTCATGGGATATAAGATATATTCTAACTCTGACTTAGTTCAAACAGTAACATGGGCAAACTATGAATGGTTCGCTTTGAGAAACTCAGTACAACCACAAGCTAGAGAACAAACAGACCAGTATGCAAATATTGAGAAAATAAGAAGACTTGACCCTAACGTTCCAGGAGTTTATGTTAACCTTTCTGGTTCAGATGGAACTGCTGCCACTAAAGTAAAACTGAAACTTAGAGTTCCTTTGTCATCTTTCCTCATCTTCAGGTTTTTAAGATACTTGCCAAACTGGCAGGAAAAATTTCTATCGAACTTACTCCAAGCAAAAATAACTTAGTCATTGCACCAACACAAGACCCATTCAGCATTACTGTAGCTGGAACTGGTGGAGCCAAGTTCTGTGACTTTTGCAAAGACAAAGTTGACTTAGACTTTGGTTTCTCAAACTTCAACAATGAAGTAAACTATATATTTCAATGCTGCTGGAACTGCTTGGGACCCAGTTAAGTTCACATGCGAAAAATTTGAATGCAAGAGAATAGAAAGCAGACTTGCAGTCTATATGTTGGACCCAGATATTTCAAATGCTTTAGCTGCCAAATATATTGCAGTTCCACTTATGTTCCCTATACACCAAATATCTGTCAAAGACTTTGCAGGTGAAGTTGGAAACCAAAGTGCTGACCCAGGTGCAAGAACAGATATTGCTTTAACAACTGCAATGAAACATGCAGATACTATGTTTGTACTGTTCAGACGAACTATAAATGACTATTCTTGTTTCTACAACCCTGGTATAAATATCATATAAACATAGATGGCAAATATTATCCAAGAGAAGAATATTCTACAGTTGAGGATATGAGGTCATACAACTTGACATTAGATGCTATGAACTTTAACAACAATTTCACAACAACCATTAACCCTGAAATGCAAAGTTCTATTATGCCATATTGAAAGTATGGACTCATACAGGAGGTCAAAAAACTCAATATACAAATGGAGACCGTTCAAACTTTTGGCTTGGCATTCCATTTGCTGACTCAGAAGACTTTATGGGTGGTATTTCAACTGTTGGTACTGTACAAATACAATATACTGGGACAGAGACGGTCCAGATGAACTGAGAGCAAAGAAGTTTACAAAACCAATAGCACTTTTCACGGAAGATGCTCTTTTGAAATTTCGTTCGATGAAACCTGCTGGGGCTCCTCAGATTGGCATAACGACAGCTTCCATCGAGCAGATTTTGGCAGCAGGTCAGTAAGTTGTTCTTGAACTGACTTCTCTCCGTCAAATATTGACAGTACGCCAGTTTTGACATAATATTGTAAGATAAACTTACCTTTAGAAATATCTGTAAGTTTTGTTGTTATTTTTGTCAACGTCAAGAACTTTCACCATTTCAGTTATACCAACTTTCTTTGCTTTATGGAAATATTTTGGTTCAGCAAATATGCTATTCTATAACATTTACCATTGTTTGTATAAAGAACTATTCTGTCAATGTATTTGTATTGTTTGTGTGTGTAAACTTTGTTCTGCTTCAATTCGAAAGAGATATCCGAATACGTCCATCTTTTTATTCTAAGTAAAATGTCATTTCCGAAAAATAGAAGCGTAAGTGTTTCAAAAGGTTTAATGGCGGTGGCAGATGTGAAGTTAAATTCACCAACTCAAACAAACAGTCAAAGTGTTGTTTGTCAATGTCAAAGACAGAGATGTTGAAGTGGGGAAACCATACGAAGACAAAGATGGTATAACAATTGTTCCTGTAAAAGAACAACCAACATATCCTGAAGTTAGCAGAGACTTAAGTTCTGTTGCAGATATTCGAAACGACTACCAACAACTGAAAGACAAACTTCAAACTCAGGAGAAGATTTGTCAAGCTTTAAGTATAATGTTAACTTGGTCGAACACAACCCTGTAAAAGTGAACTCATATGTCATTGCACCTCATGAAGTTTTGAAAGAACTATTGAAACTTTTGACAGAGGCAGACGATATAAACATCAAAGAAATAGAACCCGACATTAGTTGCTGTGGTGTTTCATATAATGTCATTGACAAGATATACGTTATGAAAGGAGGTGAAACGTTGAACTTAAAGTATAGTTTCCCAGACGTTATAAAAATTTTGACGACCACAACATTTCATTAAAGTTTATTTGCTAAGTAAAAATGTCAAAACTTCTTGAAAGATGTTTGAAGAAAAATAATATAGACTTTATTTCATGTAAAGGACTTTACACACTTTTGAACGATATGAAAGACCCTGTTTTGTTTGTTCGTGTAGACAAAGGAAAGTTCTATGTCTTTACAAAATATTTGAACTTCTTAGACAGAGAACTTCAAGAAACGCCATGTGAAAGTTTAGATGAAGTTCTTCTCCACTTTCAGAAAAACTTTTAAATATATATAAATGGCAGAAGATATAATGGTTTATACTATTACGACTAAAAACCCTGAGTCATATAATTCTATAACAACAAACTTACAAAGTCCTCAAGGACGATATTGTAAACTAACCTTAAACACAATGACGACTAAAGCCTGTTTTGCTCTTTTGACACCAGAAGACTTTATTGTTGTGAATGGTAAAAAATACTCCTTTGAAGATACTTACTCAGATATACCACCAACAGGTTTTGTTGACTTATTTAATACTTTAAGTACGGGTGTAACATGTGCTGCAACTAGAGCAGGTTTCATTATGTTTGGATGTCCGACTGAGTTTACTATAAACGATATGAGCTATAATACAAAACTTATTTCTGGTTTTTACTACCAACAGTTTCCTATAACAGGAAAAGGTGTCATACAAGGAATGTCTATTCCATTGACATTAAGCACACCAATCTTATATATTGTTTCAAACTTAGGTTCAAAGTGTTATTCGAATGTCGACAGAAACTATTATGACCAAAAAATACTTATGCGTATAAACAATACTTTCTCTGCTGGTTTGCCTATTGTTCATTCGAATGCAGAATTTTCAACCTTAGTGAACTCAAACACTTTGGCAAGTATAACGTTGACATTAGTTGACGCAAACTTTGTTCCTGTAAAACTTTTATGTCCTATGTATTTGTCAATGACGGCAGAAAGTTTCGAATTGGAAGATGCAACTGGTGAAAGTATTGTATTACAAGAACAACTTCAACAACAAATAGCTCAAGAACAACAAATGCAACAAATGCAACAACAAAGTCAAGAATAAAAAAAATATTTTTTTTTATTTTTATAAAAATGTACAGAATAGATGTTTCAGATTTTTATGACTTCCAAGCATTCAGAAATATGTGTCCATTTCGAGACTATAACAAAGCAGTCGAGAATTTGAAACGTTTAGTCATTTATGTCGACTCTGCCCCAGAATGTTATGTTATGAAAGAATGGGATGTAGTCTTTAACAAACCTAAAGCGACAATAGTTTCAGAACAAGAATGTAGACAGAAACTTAAGAAAATAAAAGTTGTACAAGTTGGAATGAAGATGTTAGATGCTTGGGATATCTTATTGTCAAAGTTAGAAGATTTTTCAGTTCGAGGTATAAAGTTCTATACACCTTCTCCAAACTTCTATTCTATCTTCACTGGATATAAATACGAACAAGTAGAATGGAAAGAAAATATTATAGAAGCTTGGTTAGACCATGTCAAAGAAATTATATGCAATGGAAACGAAAGAGTCTATGAGTATATCTTATGTTGGTTTGCAAACATCTTACAACATCCAAGTGCTAAAAATGAAACTGCTCTCATTATAATTGGAAAACAAGGAACTGGTAAGAACACATTCTTTACAGATATCTTGTGCAAACTGTTAGAAGGTTATTCGAATCCGAATATGACAAACTTAGAAAACATCTGTGGCAAGTTTAACTCCTCAATAGAGAATATGAAACTTATAGTTTGCAATGAACTTCAAAGTATAGATACAACAAAAGTTTTGAACTCAGATGCTTTGAAGAGTCTTATAACAGACAAAGTTGGAGTTGTTGAAAGAAAATATAAAGACCACAGAGTTTGTGAAAATGTTGCAAACTTCATTATGGTTTCAAACAATGCTGTTCCGATGAAATTAGAAAGTTCTGACAGAAGATATGTAGTTGTCAGAACGTCAGATTCTCATATGCAAGATACAGAATATTTTGACGACTTAGCAGAAAGTTTGACATCTGACTTTTACAACCACTTGTTCTCATATTTTATGACATTAGATATTTCTAAGTTCAATCCAAGACAAATTCCACATACCGAAGAGAGACAAACATTGTTAGAAGCAAACAAGAGTGTATATGAACTGTTCATAGATGAAACTGACTTTGAGTGTTTAGATGAAAGGTCATTGTACGATTCGTATAAACAATATTGTCAAGAATATGGTTATATGACAGCGTCTAAACGAACATTCTTGGCAAATGTCAAAAGTCTTTTAGACATACAGAATGGTGTATATACAAAGAAAAATTTTTATGAGTAAATTTTAAAAAAAAATATTTTTTTATCCGATAGAAAAGATGACAGAAAAATTAACTTTTTACATAGCGCCAGACCCTTCTTGCCCACATCTTTTTAAGCCACAATATATAGACATAGAACTAAATAGAGAAAGCGAAATTCTACAAACAGAAGAAACATATAGAGACCTAGATAACGAAAATGGATATGCGCTATTCTGGTTAGATTGTCCTTATGAAATGTATGAAAAAAAGGCTTTATATGAAGAATATAGAAAATATTGTCATGAAAACGATATAAGACCAAGCTCTAGAGAAAAATTCTATGCTGGTATAAAACATCTTTTCGAAGTTCGGAATGGCAAATATAGAAAGAAATAATTTTTCTGAGTAAATTTTTTAAAAAAATATTTTTTTATCCGATAGAAAAGATGACAAAATTCATCTCAGTAAACAAGTACATGTCAGGACTTAAAGAAGAACTAGACCCATTCACATATTTGAATGTTTACTTCTACCATTTTGAAAAGTCTTCATTCAGCAAAGTTTGGAACATCGAACCAGTTAAGTTTGCTATTGTGACTAAAAATGGTGCGAAATTTGAAGACTTAGACATAGAAGGTTTGTTAGCAGTCAAAGAAAGTTTTGACAGAAGGTTTTTCAAACCTTAAAGAAGGCAAAGCATACAAACTTGTTATACCTTATGAACCAAAGAAAGCAGACGACTATGAATATTATGAGTCTAAAGTTGTAGAAGTTCAAGGTAAATTGGGTAAAAAGATTTTAGAGTCTAAGCCAGTGTTTGCTCCTAAAGAGGAAGAGAACATTGACATTGACCCAGAAATGTTCTAAAAATAAAATTTTATTTTTACATGTCAAATTTCTTTTTCTCTGGAACTGGTTCAGGTTCTTTCTTCTCTTCTACTTTCTTTTCTTTCTTTTCTTTCTTCTTCTTTTCTGGTGGAGTTATGTCAAATTTGGCGCAACTATATTTATGTAAAAGTTCTTTGTCCTTTAATAGCTCTTCTATTCTGTTTTCTATTTCATCTTCAAGAACAGCGCATGTGTCTTCTTTGCATTCTAAGAACTTTTGTTGGACTTCATCTTTCCAATCGGTGTCATCTCTGTCAACAAGTCTGTCATTGACAAATTTTAAGACTGCTCTGCTTAATGTTTTATGGTTCTTGTCATATTCCCAGAAACAGAACTTTAGAACAAATTCACCTTTCTTGTTTACACTATGTAAGATTTTATGGTCGACAGATGTTTTGCTGTCAAAAAGTTTGTCTCGAATATAGATAGCGAAATCGCTAGACATTTTCTAAAAGATAAAAATTTTAATTTTTCTAAAAATATGTTAGAAAAAAAGTTTGCTGACATTGACAAGAAATTTGAGAATGTTTTTAAACAAGAACAAGAGGAAGTTAGAAAATGCTCAGATAAAGCCTATACATGACAAGTTCTTATTTGCTCAGAATGGTATAACAGGTCTAATTGCACCACCTGGGTCGGGTAAGACTTTCACTTATCTTAAAATGGCTGCACAACAACAAGAACTAGATGAGAAGAACCCATTCTATGAGTTAGTTGTTATTTGTAGTACTTCTGGTCAATTTGACCAAACCGTCAATTCGTTCAAAGATATTATAAAGAAGTCTAAGTTAGTATGTATAAAGGATACTGAGTTGTTAGATTGGATAAAGAAGTACCAAAGAAGGGTTTTGAAGTACAATGCTATAAATGAGTATATAAATTCGAAGTTTAAAGACCCAAATGAGGAAATGCAGAGAATATTAGAGAAGAAACACTTCAGAAACAAACAGAAAGAGATAGAATACATTTCGAAGAAATTGCAATCTTACGATTGGAAGACATACCCTCATAGGTGTCTTCTTATCTTAGATGACTTTGCTTCTCATCCTTTGTTAAAGAACAGAGAACAAGATATGTGTCGAATTCTTAAGAAGCTCAGACACTTTAACATTTCAGTCGTAATATGTGTACAGACAGCAAAGAGTTTAAGTAAGGATGTTAAAAGAATACTTACTGACATTGTACTTTTCCCCGGATTGTCCGAAGACGATTTCATGGAACTTATGAAAGAGTCCATGGCAGGTAAGTTTGACAGACATGAACTATGGGAGAAGTACAAAGTCATACAAGACCCTCATACTTCTTTCAGAATTCATATCTACGCGAACAAAGTTCAAATTGTAAAAAGTCAAGCTTGAAAAATAAATGGTTCATCTACCCTACTTGTTTGAAGTTGTCAAAATACTCTGTTATTTTTTCTTTCAGTAGCGGTAAGTCTTCTTTGAAGGTAAGTATTGTACAACCTTTCATATCATAGTGTGTTTGAGGTAACGTATCTTGAACTATTTGTTTCACATCTTCATTTGGAGTCATTGAAATCGGTAAGTTTTCGCGATAGAACCAATTTCTGTCAGATTTGTAAATCTTAGCAAGGTCGTAAAAGCTTTTGTTGTTTCTTCTGACTAAATGCAACATAACCATATCTTTATCTTCTTCTTTCTCCAACTCTTCAGTATAAATCATATACTTATAGTTCTTTTCCTTTCCTTTTGGTACCGAACGTGGTATTCTTTTCTGAATGTTTTTGTCTTTTGCTTCAATGACTTCATCTTTTGCTTCAATGACTTCATCTTTTGCTTGAAGTTTCTTTTCCATCTCTTCACGTTCTTGTCTATGAATTTCGTCAAGAAGTTTGTAAACATGCCATGCATAACGAGGCGAAGCCCACATTGCAACTGCATTTACTAAAAGTCTATGTACATAATATCCTCTTAAATTTATTGGCAAATTTTTACGATTTTCATGTGTTTTATGCAAGACCGAAAAAAGTCGGTCTAGAGAAATTTCACTCAAAAGTTCTTGTGTGCTTTGGTTTTTGAACCAGTCGTCTGCGTGTTTAGTGTCTGGAGCAAAACATGCTGTCAAAATACTTTGCATTTGGTACATATCGTCTTTGACCGAACGAATGAGACGTAACTGTTTGTTAAACTGAACCCACTCATATTCTTCATTTATAGCTTCATGAACGATAGCAGTTGTTGTGTTCTCTGATGTTGACATATCTGTCCTTACATACAAAATAAAAAAATAAATAAAAATAAAACTAACTTTATTTTTTCTATCTTAAGGAAATTCATGATTTTCATAGAGTTTTGGCGACTAAGGTTTCTTACGTACTCGCTGTTCTTCACTGTTTTCGTACGGAATCTCTTCCCTCGGAAAACCGAGGGAAGCAATCTTATGCCATTTTACTCAGATTTTTGTGCTGAATTCAGCAAAAATATATTTTAGGGTAGAAGGTTAGATCTCACCTGTTTTCTCACCTGTTTTTTCACCTCGTGAATTTTCATGAATTTTCCCGAAATAAAAAATAAAGTTAGTTTTATTTCATTTATTTTGTATGTAAAGACATGATTTCAGGGATTTTTTTGACGAAGTGAACGTTGACACTTCGTCAAAAAATAACAGTTATATAATGAAAAAGTGTCATTTTTTTTCATTTTTTTCATTTGACGAGAATGTCGGGTAGATGGTTAGATCTAACCTGTTTTCTAACCTGTTTTCTAACATGGTCTAAAACACACAAAACTCATGATTTTTGGTCATTTTTCAGCAAAAATATATTTTAGGGTAGAAGGTTAGATCTAACCTCATTTCTAACCTGTTTTCTCACCTGTTTTCTAACATGGTCTAAAACACACAAAACTCATGATTTTTGGTCATTTTTCAGCAAAAATATATTTTAGGGTAGAAGGTTAGATCTAACCTCTTTTCTAACCTCTTTTCTACCCTCTTGAATTTGTCATGATTTCATCGTACATGTTTTGTCAAGACTTCTTCGTAAATGTTTTGTCAAGACTTCTTCGTAATGAGTGTAAAGGACCCAAAAATATAATTTAGGGTAGAAGGTTAGATCTAACCTCTTTTCTAACCTCTTTTCTACCCTCTTGAATTTTCATGATTTCATCGTACATGTTTTGTCAAACATGAACGTAAATGTTTTGTCAAGACTTCTTCGTACATGTTTTGTCAAGACTTCTTCGTACATGTTTTGTCAAGACTTCTTCGTAAATGTTTTGTCAAGACTTCTTCGTAAATGTTTTGTCAAGACTTCTTCATCGTAATGAGCGTAAATCAGACAAAAATAATGTTTATGTTAGCATGTTAGATCTAACACGTTTTCTCACCTCTTTTCTAACATGGTCTAAAACACACAAAACTCATGAATTTTCGTGAATTTCCTTAAGATAGAAAAAATATATTTTATGTTAGAATGTTAGATCTAACACGTTTTCTAACACGTTTTCTAACATGGTCTAAAACACACAAAACTCATGAAATTTCATACGGAATTCAGCAAAAATAAAGTTTATGTTAACATGTTAGATCTAACACGTTTTCTAACACGTTTTCTAACATAACTATTTACAAGCGTTTTACATGGTATATGTTGCGATGGTTCATGACTTTAAACAGTTTTGTAGCTTCTATTTCTTCGCTGAGGATATCGAATGTTTTAACTATGCCGAAGGTTTCTTTATACTTCTTCTTGACGTCAGATAGAAGGAAATCTTCTGCTGTTGGATAGTTTTTGTTCAGAAATTCTAACATGTCCATTTTATTTTCTACCGGCTTCTCTGCTTCTTTCTTTAAGTCTGCATAGTCGTTTCTCATACGTTCTATCTCTTTGACGGAGTAGTTATATTTCCTCATTGCTGCTTTACATTTAGAACATTGCGGGTTCATTTTTGCGTTATACATTGAAATAAAACCAGCTAAAACAACTAAAGCGTCAATGGTTTTCTTCATCTCAAACATAGCGGGTCTTATTTGTTCATTCCATACTTTGCCTCTTTTATCTTTATCTCTTATCTGCCATACACATTCAGCAACTAACGAAACAAAGTTGTCGTAGGTCTTAAATTCTTCGGATTTATATATGTCAGAGATGTTCTTATATACCATGTCGCAATCTTTGTCCATAACTTTATGGTTGCAATGAAATCCTAGAAACTCATAGTTTACCTTTCGTATGAACTTCTTTATTTCTACTGAGTCAGTTGCTTTGACTTCTATTTCGTCGAATTCAGGAATAGTGAGTTTTTGTTGTTGAATTTCAGGCAATTTGGGTAAATGGTCAATAATGTCCTGCATTTCATAAAGATACTGTTCATTTGTTTCATCTTTCGCACTACAGTCTAAATTACATGTTAAAAGTTCTTGCTTTATCTTCTGGATTTCTGTTTCGAAAGTATATGAAGAAGGAATGAAGCTTTTCATTTCTACTAACATAGATGTTGGATTCATGACTAACGAGTTTGGTGCTGTTGTTGTTTGAAGTGTTGTTGTGCCGATTGTTGAAATCATATCTTTTATACAAAATAAAAAAAAATAAAAAAATAAAACTAACTTTATTTTTTATTTCGGGAAAATTCATGAAAATTCACGAGGTGAAAAAAGAGGTGAAAAAACATTTACGAAGAAGTCTTGACAAAACATTTACGAAGAAGTCATGAAAATTCAAGAGGTTAGAAAACGTGTTAGAAAACGTGTTAGATCTAACATTCTAACATAAACTTTATTTTTGGTGTAAATTTCATGAAAATTCAAGAGGTGAAAAAAGAGGTGAAAAACGTGTTAGATCTAACCATCTACCCGACATTCTCGTCAAATACAAAAAAATGAAAAAAATGACACTTTTTCATTAGATAACTGTTATTTTTTGACGAAGTGAAGAGTAACATTTCGTCAAAAAAATCCCTGAAATCATATCTTACATACAAAAAAATACAAAAAAATGACACTTTTTCATTAGATAACTGTTATTTTTTGACGAAGTGAAGAGTAACACTTCGTCAAAAAAATCCCTGAAATCATATCTTACATACAAAAAATGAAGAATAAATGAAATAAAACTAACTTTATTTTTTCTATCTTAAGGAAATTCATGAAAATTCAAGAGGGTAGAAAAGAGGTTAGAAAAGAGGTTAGATCTAACCTTCTACCCTAAATTATATTTTTGGGTCCTTTACACTCATTACGAAGAAGTCTTGACAAAACATTTACGAAGAAGTCTTGACAAAACATTTACGAAGAAATCATGACAAAACATGTACGATGAAATCATGACAAAACATTTACGAAGAAGTCATGACAAATTCAAGAGGGTAGAAAAGAGGTTAGAAAAGAGGTTAGATCTAACCTTCTACCCTAAATTATATTTTTGGGTCCTTTACACTCATTACGAAGAAGTCTTGACAAAACATTTACGAAGAAGTCTTGACAAAACATTTACGAAGAAGTCATGACAAATTCAAGAGGGTAGAAAAGAGGTGAGAAAAGAGGTTAGATCTAACCTTCTACCCTAAATTATATTTTTGGGTCCGGGAACAACTTTCTCTCAATAGGGGCTGTAGCGTACTCTTTGCGTAAGCGGTTCAGACCTTCTTCGAACTCTTGGTCTCTCTTCGATTTGGACTGAGATTGGAATTGCTGGAACATCCAAGGGTTGGGGCAGTAAGGCATAGGCTGAGGAGGGTAGTTCGGGAAGCCTTGTGGTGGGTAGTAACCTTGAGGTGGAAATTGGTAGAAATTCGGAGGTACTTGCTGGAACTGAGGTGCAGGGGCTGGTTCTTTAGGTTCCTCTGGTTTGGGAATGGACTGGGTTGGTGGGACGTGAGACATTCGTTTGTGTCCTGTCGGAAGGAAGAACTTTTCCTGTCGGAAGGAAGAACTTTTTCTGTTGGAAGGAAAAACTTTTCCTGTCGGAAGGAAAAACTTTTTCTGTCGGAAGGAAAAACTTTTTCTGTCGGAAGGAAAAACTTTTTCTGAAGTTCGACCAAAAAGTTCTCAATTTTCGAAAATTTGAATGGTTTACGGACGGACAACTGGAAGAGTTCTTCCTGTCGTCGGGAAAAATTTTTTCTGTCGGAAGGAAAATTTTTTCCAGTTGTCGGGAAAATATTTTCCTGTCGGATGGAAGGACTCGGAATGCCAGAAGGATTTGACGAGGCAATTTACCTAATTTAAATTAACGACTGCGTAAAAGACTACTTGCGCAAGGTCATGAAGCCCAAGGTCAAGTTCACCGCTATTTCTGGAAGGGCTGCCTTGAATCTCGAGACTTCGACTGGAATTCCAATTCAAATACCAGAAAACACTCCTTTCGACGACATAAAGGACGCCAAAAGAGAAGCTCTTGTTAAGTTCCTAAACAAACGTCCTTGGATAAAAATACCAAACAAGGAGAACCCCCTACCCCATATGAAATTGGCAATTCAGTCTCTCCTTCGCTTCTCGGGTCAGCCGTTCTTCATAACCTGTGAAGGCGACATCCAACCAGTTCAGTAAACCTTAACGTTTAACTTCACTTTTTTATGTTTTTTGTGAAAGTTTAAAATAAATTGTTTTCATGAGTTTTCTACGATGTTAGAAAAGTGGTTAGAAAACGTGTTAGATCTAACATGCTAACATAAACATTATTTTTCAATACTTTTTCAGCACTTTTCCGTAGTTATATATGAAAGACAATTCGAGATAAAAGTCATAGTACAATGGAATAATATGTTGCACACCATTTGTTGTGAAACCAAACTTGAAAGTCAGAGAAACTGTTACTAGGTGGTTCGTAGAATTTAGAAGCAAAGTCATAAAAGTCCTTACCAATACATAGAAAAACTATTGTTGCTTGAACTGAAACTTGCATGACACATAACATTTTGAGGGTCAAACACGTTTCTATAAACTGTCAAATCTGCTGGTGGAAGTATAAATTTAAATGGACCATCTGGTGGTAATGGTTCGTTCTGGTTTAGTAACCGAAGAAATTGTGCCCAAGAACGTTTGTCTACTTTCCAAAATAAAAACTCTGTATCTCTTGGAGGGTTAATTTCAATCTTTTGAAATGAAACGGTGGAGTTCATCTTGTCATATTCTAGTTTCAGATAGTATGTTTCCATTTAGTAAAGAGTCGTATTTTTTCTTGAAATTCCCAATAATATTTGTTCATTTGAGTTTGAAAGTCATTTAGAGTTTTCTCAAGACTTTCGTTCTGAACGAAC